ATCTTCTAAGATATTGAGTGGTCCATAGTTAACCAATCAACCGGTATAATGTAGTGACATGATTAATTTATTTTGGCCTAACTAAGTGTTTTGTAGAAACAACTTTTTCTTTAGTTTTTGGAACTAGAAATTTATTAGGCAACTTTAATAAGCGTATTTTAATTTAGACCAAGCTTCTAAACACTCAGTCCAACTAGATGTGTAATTTGCCCTTAGAAAAACCATAGTTTAAGTTAGACTAACTTTGTATCTTTCAGAGCGTAACCTAATCACCTTAATTTATTGGATAAATAATATAGTTAACAGTTTAATCTTCTGTGTTCGAAAAAAATCAAGAATATTAAAAATATTGAACAATAATTTCATACAACGATAACCAAATTTGTTTACTGCTAACGAAATGTTTTATCAGCCTTAGGTGTTTTTTATATAGACTGCTGTTGTTTTCCAAATAACATTGCCATTGTCGTCACACCTTAATAACTCGGTTTCCAAATAGTTTGAATAACATTTGTTAAATAATGTATATTTTATTTATTTGATTGCTCCTTTAACACACTAAAATCCAAATTTAGTAATTGTAAATGTTTAAAAAAAACTAACAATTAGAATTCTTTTAGTAAAAAAAAATGGGTCCTAAATTTAATGAATCATATGTATTCACCACAAAACATATATTTGACATATCTTTACTATTTGTTTGTATACCACCCTCCTATGCAAAATAATTTAATAGCTGGTGCAAATCTAAAATATATTTAATGTAGAGACACTATTAATTTCTAGTTTGCATAATTAAATGATTTGTTAAAACCACTTTTATTTAACTTTTTAACTAGAAATATATTGAACCCCTACCATAAGCGTATTTAAATTTAGACCAAATTTTTAAACACTCAGTCCAACTAAAATGTATTGTGCCGTTATATTAACCATAGTTAGAGTGGGACCAATTTTGTATTTTTCAGAGGGTAACTTAATCCCTAACATTTCGTTTCATTGTGTTTGAAAAATATCAGGAATATTTGAAATATTGGATAATATTTTTATGCAACGATAACCAAAGTTGTTTACAGCTAACGAATTGTTTAATCAGCCTTGGGTGTTTTTCAGATACACTGCTGTTGTTTTCCAAAAAACATCGCTATTTGCGTCATACTTTAATAACTCGGTTTCCATAAAGTTTGAATAGCATGTATTAAATAATGTATATTTTATTTATTTGATTGCTCCTTTAACACACTAAAATCCAACTTAAGTAATTGAAAATGCTTAAAAAAAAGAAAAATTTTAAATTAGATTTATTATAAAAAAACTGAGTCCTATATTTTATGAATCATCTGTATTTGCCATAATACATACATTTGACATATCTTTACTATTAATTTGTATACCAACCTCTTACGCAGAATATATCATTAGCTGGTGCAAATGAAAAATACATTTAATGTAGAAACACGATTAATTTCTAGTTGGCTTAACTAAATGATTTGTTAAAACCACTTTTACTTAGTTTTTGAACTAGAAATATATTGAGCCCCCATAATTAGCGTATTTTTATTGAGACCAAATTTTAATAACTCGATCCAACTAGAAATGTAAAGTGCCGTTATATTAACTATAGTTTTAATTTGACCAACTTTGTATTTTCAGATGGTAACTTAATCTCTTTAATATTTAAGTTCAATAATATATTTAACATTTCGATTCATTGTGTTCGAAATAATTCAGGAATATTTGAAATAATGGACAATATTTTCATGCTACGATAACCAAAATTGTTTACTGCTAACGAAATGTTTTAAAAGCCTTAGGTGTTTTTTAGATAAACTGCTGTTGTTTTCCAAATAAAATTGCTGTTTGCGTCATACTTTAATAGTTCAGTTTCCATATAGTTTGAATAATATTTGTTAAATAATGTATATTATATTTATTTGAATATTTTTTTGACATAAATATCCAAATTTAATTGTAAATGTTTAAAAAAAACTAACAATTAGAATTCTTTTAGTAAAAAAAAATGGGTCCTAAATTTAATGAATCATATGTATTCACCATAAAACATATATTTGACATATCTTTACTATTTGTTTGTATACCACCCTCATATGCAAAATAATTTAATAGCTAATGCATATCTAAAATATATTTAATGTAGAGACACTATTAATTTCTAGTTGGCATAATTAAGTGATTTGTTAGAACCACATGTACTTAACTTTTTAACTAGAAATATATTGAGCCCCTATAATAAGCGTATTTTAATTTAGACCAAATTTTTAAACACTCAGTCCAACTAAAATGTATTGCGCCGTTATATTAACCATAGTTAGAGTGGGACCAATTTTGTATTTTTCAGAGGGTAACTTAATCCCTAACATTTCGTTTCATTGTGTTTGAAAAATATCAGGAATATTTGAAATATTGGATAATATTTTTATGCAACGATAACCAAAGTTGTTTACAGCTAACGAAATGTTTAATCAGCTTTGGGTGTTTTTAGATAAACTGCTGTTTTTTTCCAAATAACATTGCCATTTGCGTCATACGTTAATAGCTCAGTTTCCATATAGTTTGAATAATATTTGTTAAATAATGTATAATATTTTCTTTGAATATTTTTTTGACATAAATATCCAAATTTAATTGCAAATGTTTAAAAAAAACTAACAATTAGAATTCTTTTAGTAAAAAAAAATGGAACCTAAATTTAATGAATCACCTGTATTCACCATTATTTTTTTTAATGTTTTAAACTAGATATATATTGAGCCTCTATAATAGGCGTATTTTAATTAAGAACTAATATTTAATACTCAGTCCAACTAAAAATGAATTGTGCTCTTAGAAAAACCATAGTTCTAGTAGGTTTTGAGTATTTCATGATAGGTATAATTACAGACCATTTTCTTTAATCCGGTTTTTCTCCAGTTACGCTTAGCCAATGTTTTTTTTATTGTATAATTACATTTATGTAATATTATATACAATTATATTATTTTGTAGTCAAAAATGTTTAAACTTTCAGTCATGATCATAAAACAAAATATATTAAATTAAAAAAATAAAAATAAGTGGAAATCTACAAAACATTTTTTTTAGATATAGCTTAGGGGGATCTCGAACAATTTTACTCTCTCACATATTATAACAACCTAGAAATTAACTACAGCTTTCGAAGTGCAATTTCTCCTTTTTTTTGGGAGGAGGGAATTTTCTTTAACAATAAAAAAATAAATCATAAAAATCCAATATCTAATCAGCTCTGCGCCTTCTACTGCAATCGTATCTACCGCTATACTTAATTTGAAAGTTAATTTGAAAGTGATTTTATCTGAGAGGACAAGGACAGTAGAGTATAAGCATATTGGAATCAAAACATAGAGGGAGGGGACAGGAGGTCAGAGGTCTGCAGTAATTGTTATAAATAAAAGTGAATAAAATGTGGAGTGTAGTATTTTTTTTATCTGCGCGCATTTCCCGACCACACATTCCCTCCAATCTTTAGTTTAAAACTCTTATAACTTTATAATTAGTTATCCGAAACTCTATGAGATATTGAGTGGTTCATGATAAAAAAATCACCCTGTATATGTCATAAAAAAAATTATTATTTTGTAGTTTGCCTTCTGTTGATTTATTTCTTTTTCTACAAGTTACATATATATATAGGTCTATTTATTCAGTCTAATTTTAAGCTCTTGAGACTAAAACGTAAAAAATTTCAACCCTTGTGGCGGGGAGGGGGTTGGGTTGCAGGACTATCGAAATTTGATTTGAGGCTATTTATGAATAGAGGCATGCCTAATAAATGTTCTATAAAAATTGCGCTTCGATAAGACCGTTTTTCGTTAAGCTCTAGTGAGTTAAAGTCGAAAAACCGTCAAAGTACCAATCGCACACTATTTCAGATGTATAGAGATGATACTCGAGTAAACCGTTCCAAAGGAAAAAACATGTGACCGCTCTTTTAAGGTATTAGGTTTATTTTTCAAAGTTTTTCTCCAATAAATAGTTACCGTCAAATGAGCCAACTTGGGGCATATGTGTAAAAAAATATACATTTAAATATAATATATTTGACCAATGCCCCAAATTACCCATAATCCCCAATGTTGGCCCGTTTGACGGTAACAAAAGATTTTTAAGATAATTGTTTGTTTGTGTTAATGTCCCATTCTAGATATATTCTTTAGATGGGGCACTATCGATAAACGTTGACAATATATGCATTTATTTTGCACATGAGTAAACAGTTTTAAACTGTAATAAGCACGTAAAAAGATAACAGTAAGTGGGTACGTGTACTAAGTATGCCATACAACGCAAATAAAAATGTTCAAAAGTATCTGTTGCTTAAAACTAATTGCACGGATCAACACCTACAGACATGGTACTGTTTGCATTCTTCAAGTAAATATTCTTATATTAAGTACTGTGGTTGTTCGGAAAACCACTATTTGAATCACAGTCATCAAGCAAGAATACAATATTCCCATAACATTATAAAATCGTCATATTCCGTATCCAAGTTTATCGTTTGAACACTTAAAATGTATTCGAAAATCATGATGCTGTTTATTTGCATTGCATGGTACGTCTTGCAATGTCAATGTGCTGATGAAGGCCCTAGTGAAAGTCAACTTGTAAGAATAACGAGTACTTATTATTTATTTTTAATACAAAATGCTGAGATAGTTGCTTATAAATGTATAAAATGTAATGTATTAATTAGAAAAGTCACTTAATGTTTTAACCACCTACATTGCTGCACCGAAGAGTTTTTTAAGTAATATTTTCTCTTATAACCAATTATTGATAACAATAACAAAAAAATATACTTTAACTACTATACAATTTATGTTATAATGCTAAACAAATTCGCAAGTCATATAATATTACTGATAGTTAGGCATTTTTATTTAATTAAAGAAGGATTAGTTTAATTTGCAAATTGTTATGTACAATTAAATGACTAATTCTTATTCTTATAACAATAGGCTGTGATAGTAAAAAAAGTCGATGAAATTTATCACGAACCGAATGGCATCAGCTATGATGACTTTTTTAAAGCTTTGCTTTCTATACAAACGGATACGAAGGCAACAGGAAATATCCTCAGCCGTGATCAATTTGAAAAGACATTGGAAGGTAATAAATAATAGGACAATATTCAACAATTGTGTTAGCTAGAAACTATTAAATTGAGGTGCATTATTTACAAACAAGCATCAAAGCGTTAATTTGAAAGTGATTTTATGACTTTAATTAATAATAGTTCCTGTAGACTCGTGACCTCTCCGTCCTCTCTATGCTTTGATTCCATTATAACTCGACCCACTGTACTAGTCCTTTTAGATTAAATCGATTTCAAATCAACGCTTTGATGCTAATTTGTAAACACTGCACCTCAATTTAATTCGTTTTTACTTTGCTCAGTTTGGACTTAACTGGTTTGAAAATACTGATCACTGATTTGCATCAAAGCGTTTATTCGAAAGTGATGTTATTACATATTCAGCTGTAATAATTCCTGTAAACTTGTTTCCTCCCCGTCCCCATTAAGCCCCAACCCCACTGTATTATTGTTAAATTTAGTTGGAATGTTCGGTGATTTATGTTTCAACCGTTTGTACTCCATAATTTAAATTAAAAATCGCTTATACTCAATAAAAATAAATTTTATGTATTATATATTTCTTCCATTAGAACAATCTCACACTAACTCTTTATACTTTATAAATTATATTTTTCATAGCTATATTATTCTTCTATTTTACTAGATTGACAATAAACATAACAAAACGCATCTAAAAAACCTTTACATAGATCCTTAATTTGTATACTTATTTCTTGTATTTTTCTAAAGAATAATTGAGTCTCCAGCATTGAAATTAATAGTAAATCTTATACTATATTGGAGAAAACAATAAAATATTATACTTACATATATTACTTATTAGTAAAAAAGAATTAAAGCCAGATGCAGTGTTTATAACTTAGCATCAAAGCGTTTATTTAAAAGTGTATTTATCGTAGAGGAGTAGTACAATTTATAAAACTCATATGGTAGCAACTAGTACTCCCAGTACCAACTAGATAAAATTTGTGATTTACAGAATTGCTGTAAAAACTAAAAATAAAAATATTGTAATACAATTATACAATTAATCTGATTTTTTATGAATATATTTAAAATTTTGTTCTTTCAGGTCGTGAATATACATTAACAGATTGTTTAAATCTAACGAGATTTATTGTAGGTGACGATACTCAGCAGGTAAATAAAAAACTAAAATTACTATATTACAGTTTAAGGTTTTTGAAGTGCAAAATGTGAATTATTGTTTTAGAAAATGAATCTTATGTTTATAATGTGTACATTACAATGTTTTAGTTGTAAATTTTAATATACATTTTAATGCCTATTTTTGTTCTGATAAAAAATAGGAATATGCAGAAACATTATTTTATAGAAATGCATGTCCGGGAAGTATAAACTTTGTTAAATTAAGTTTTGTCATTTTTGGTATAAGAGTTCAACTCAATATGGATATATCCATTCATAAAGAAGACCAATTGAAAGCGGATATTTTAAGTAATATACAATAAAAATTTTTTAATAAATATGTTGAGAAAAATGTTAAAAAACTATTGAAAAGGCATTTTAATAATAAAGTCTATCATTAATTGCACAACTATAAATTATATAATTTTTTATAAAAATTAAATTTATTATGTAATTTTACATTATTTTTCTTCAATTACGAAAATATCAGATAATAATCTTTTGCAAGTGGAAAACATATTTTTTCTTTAATATATTTGCTGTTGAATTGGTCTGCTTCGTTTGATTAAAAAATGTATAATATTTTGTGCTTTTAGAATACACTTTTCCTATTCAGACAAAAGAAGATGCCATTAGATCGATTATACAAAATTTTAATTTTGCAGTTTTAGAATAATACATGTATGTACTATGTAGTATATCACATACAAAATTGTATTCTTGATTGGAAAATAAACCATTTTGCTCTTATATTTCGTCAGTATTTATTTTATTGCTTCATATAAAAAAAGTTTTTTTTAAACAAAAAAATCTCTAAACAAAATTCTAAGAGTTTTTTAAGAGGTAAGTTTTAATATAATAATTAGTATTGAGATAACTAGAAAAAATATAATTAAACTTACTTTGGAATAGTTGAAAACTCATTTTTATACAACTCAAAAAAATATAATTCTATTTCTAAGCTCGATAATGATAAATAACCTATATAAAAAAAAACACATAATCGTTCATTGTTCAATATTACCATTAGCATTTTTCTAGGCTACAATACATTGTATTGATGTGTATTAATTATAAACCAATACATACAAGATATCTCATATGAATTTTACATTATTCGCGACATATATTTTATCCGGCGGTGGCCAGTTTACTCGGCCCATTCTAGATGTGAAAGTGATTTTATCCGAGAGGACTAGTACTGTAGAGTATAGACATAATGGAATCAAATCATAGAGGGGACGGAGAGGTCACCGGTCTTCAAGAATTATTATAAATAAAATCAATAAAATCACTTTAAAATAAATGCTTTGATGCTTATTTGTAAATACAGCACCTCAACTTAATACTTTCTCACTTTGCTGGTTTACACTGTGCTTGGTTTGGGCTGTATTGGCTTGAAAAGCATCTTATTCGCATCGAAGCGTTTATTCGAAAGTGGTTTTATCACCTTCAGATTAAAAATGTCCTGTAAACCTGTGACCTCACCGTCCCCATTATGTCCAGACCCCACCATGCTCTGATTCTACTGTACTGGCTTTTAAGTTTTTCTATTTAAAATCATTCACAATTAATTACTTTGGAAAAAAATGTGTCAAAAAAACATTCAAATGAATATCATATACATTATTTAACAAATGTTATTCAAACTATATAGAAACTGAGTTATCAAAGTAAAACACCAATGGCAATGTTATTTGGAAAACAACAGTAGTGTATCAAAAAAACACCTAAGGCTAACAAAACAATTCGTTAGCAAAAACAAGTTTGGTTAGCGTTGCATGAAATTGTCGTTCAAATATTCCTATGATGTTTTTATCGCCGGAAAACTGTGTTTTTTTACAATTTTAGGATCTGAAAGTTAAAAATTTGTCAGCATTTAGAATTCATATGTATTCATAGCATATTAAACGAAGTAAAAATCCGGCACTTCAGTATTGCTATAATTGCCAGAAAACTGTATAAGATATTGTATATTTAACATATACTCTTTAAATCATAAAAGAACTTCATGAAATCATCACAACATTTTATGGACATCTATTCAGAATGATCCTAATTAGTTTTGATACTTGAGTACCATTTATAGGTTTTTATTTAATTTAATTTAACTTTTTATTTAAGTATTTTTTGGCTGAGTAAAATAGAATACTGATATTAAATTCGCAATCACCGACCCCCACAACATATAATTTGACCACTTTAAAGTCTTTTACACAAAAATCCAGAAAAATGTTTTAGCTTTGATGTGGAGCAGTGATGCTATAGGTTTTACAATGAAGTGGCCTTTTTTATTATTTTGTTTGTATACACATTTACAACTTTTTTATTACTGGACCAATACCTTCGAACAGCAACTCTATAAATCACATACTTGATCAACTTAAATTATAGTTTAAATAGTTTATTTAACGTATTGACCTATTGTGTTCGAAAAATATCAGGAATATTTAAAACATTGGACAATAAATTCATGCTACGATAACCAAAATTGTTTACTGCTAGAGTAAATATGGAAAACAATTGTGTTCTATATTTAATAAATCATCGGTATTCACCATAAAACATATATTTGATAAATCTTAATTATTTATTTGTGTACCACCCTCCTACGCAAAATAAATTAATAGCTGGTGCAAATCTAAAATATATTTAATGTAGAAACACGATTAAATTCTAGTTGGCTTGACTAAATTATTTGTTAAAACCACTATTACTTAGTTTTTTGAACCAGAAATATATTGAACCGCTATAATAAGCGTATTTAAATTTAGTTCAAATTTTTAATAACTCAGTCTAACTAGAAATGTATTGTGCCGTTATATTAACCATAATTTAAAGTTGACCAACTTTATATTTTTCAGAGGGTAACTTAATCCCCTAATTTTCAAATTGAATAATATATTTAACATTTCGATTCATTGTGTTAGAAAAATATTTAAAATATTTGAAATATTGGATAATATTTTCATGCAACGAGAACCAAATTAGTTTACGACTAACGAAACGTTTTATCAGGCTTAGGTGTTTTTTAGATAAACTGCTGTTGTTTTTCAAATAACATTGCCATTGCCTTCATACTTTTATGACCTAGTTTCTATATAGTTTAAATAACATTTGTTAAATAATGTATAATATATTATTTTGAATATTTTTTTGACAATTAAATATTCAAATTTAGTAATTGTAAATGTTTCAAAAATAAAAAACTAAAAATTACAATTATTTTTATGTCCTATATTTAATGAGTCATCCATTTTCACTATAAAACTAATATTTGAAAGTCTTTTACTGTTTATTTGTGTACTACCCTCAGTGTTGGGAATTATCTAGATAATTGTATCTAGATAATATATCTAGATAAAAAAAAGTAAATCATCTTATTATCTTATTTAGATAAACAAATCGGTTACCTGAGGTAATTAATCTATATAGAAATTGTAACTATTTTTTAAGTTATTTATTCGTGGGTTTTACAAAAACAGGTTTCGGGATCCGACGAAACGCATAATGTAGTCCTAGCCTAAAAATATTAATATACCTAGGTCCTAATGAATAGTGATTAGTGATATAAAAATATATTATTAATACATTGGGGTTGGCTTGTTAGACAAGTCCAATATTCCATTGTAATCCAATGTATTTTAGTCGATTATACAAAACGTCTTTTACCTATTTTTAATAGGTAGAAGTAGATAAGAGTTATATATGTATTATCGTATAATTTATTATTTATATTCGTAGTTCTCGACTACAGTGCTCAGTTTTTATTTAATGTTGATAATTTTTTTCCCAGTACTCTCGAAATAATTACTAGTGCTATATAAAACGTGTTTATAAGAATTTTTACGATAATAATTTCAAGATTAACATTGACCAAAATCCCAACAAAAAAAATGGTCGAAAGTGCAGGTGTTTATTTGAGCAGAATGGTTATAAATTATATTTTACAAATATATATACATGTCAGGCGAGTCCTGTATCAGTAACTACATATAGGGTAAAGAGTAAAGACTATAAAAGTAAAATAGTAAATAGTAATACAAGTCCAATAAACAATGAGCCGTTTCCAAAAAGTTATTTGTATTTTCAATCAAAATAAAATAACAAAACCTTGTAATAAACATTTTAAACATAATGTTGGCTCTCCGTAGTCCGTAGACCGTATGTGACCAAAACGATAGTTAAGCCTCAAAGAAGAACAATATGTTTATAAATAGTTTCAACCGATAATGAAATGTCCCGTCATCGATTATCGAGTTTGATAAACTCGTATTTACTTTTTATACCTATTTATACTATTACTGTTGCCTACATAAAAGATGACATAAACAGAATACATGAAAATAATAAATGACAAATGAACAGAGTAGCCATAAATCACGAAATCTAATATAAGGAAAATTTGCTCTTTGACGTAACTGTCCATTTCTTAGTACCTACGTCTTATTGGTTATTAAATTATTCTGTAATCTGTGAAAATACTTTGTTTCACTCATACATTTTCGTATAACATTTTATGAAGGTTAAAATTTAATTTATCTATTTTTCATCTAGATAAAATTGTATTTATCTTTATCTTTTAGCTAAATAAATGTTAAATGAATAATTTAATATCTTATCTAGATGATATATTACTCAATTATCCGTTATCTTATCTAGATAACTTTATAGTTATCCTTTCCCAACACTGACTACCCCCCTACGCAGAAAAATAAAATAGCTGGTGCAACCTAAAATATATATAATGTAGTGACATGATTAATTTATTTTGGCCTAACTAAGTGTTTTGTAGAAACAACTTTTTCTTTAGTTTTTGGAACTAGAAATTTATTAGGCAACTTTAATAAGCGTATTTTAATTTAGACCAAGCTTCTAAACACTCAGTCCAACTAGATGTGTATTTTGCCCTTAGAAAAACCATAGTTTAAGTTAGACTAACTTTGTATCTTTCAGAGCGTAACCTAATCACCTTAATTTATTGGATAAATAATATAATTAACAGTTTAATCTTCTGTGTTCGAAAAAAATCAAGAATATTAAAAATATTGGAAAATAATTTCATACAACGATAACCAAAATTGTTTATTGCTAACGAAATGTTTTATCAGCCTTAGGTGTTTTTTATTTAGACTGCTGTTGTTTTCCAAATAACATTGCCATTGTCGTCACACCTTAATAAATCGGTTTCCAAATAGTTTGAATAACATTTGTTAAATAATGTATATTTTATTTATTTGAATGTTCTTTTAACACACTATTATCCAAATTTAGTAATTGAAAATGCTTAAAAAAAAGAAAAATTAAAAATTAGATTTATTATAGAAATAATGGGTCCTATATTTTATGAATCATCTGTGTTCACCATAAAACATACATTTGACGTATCTTTACAATTTGTTTGTATACCACCCTCCTATGCAAAATAATTTAATAGCTTATGCAAATCTAAAATATATTTAATGTAGAGACACTATTAATTTCTAGTTGGCATAATTAAATGAATTGTTAGAACCACTTTTATTTAACTTTTTAACTAGAAATATATTGAACCCCTACCATAAGCGTATTTAAATTTAGACCAAATTTGAATATAATTGGAATAACATTTGATAAATAATATATATTATATTTATTTAAATACTTTTTTGACATAAATATCCGAATTAAGTAATTATAAATGTTGAAAAAAATTTAAAAATTATAGTTAATATCGAAAAAAAAGTGTTCTATATTTAATGAATCATCTGTATTCACCATAAAACAATAACATGATATATCTTTATTATTTATTTGTATACCACCCTCCTGTGTAGAATAAATTATTTGCTGGTGCAAATGAAAAATACATTTAATGTAGAAACACGATTAATTTCTAGATGGCTTAACTAAATGATTTGTTAAAACCACTTTTACTTAGTTTTTGAACTAGAAATATATTGAGCCCCCATAATTAGCGTATTTTTATTGAGACCAAATTTTTAATAACTCAATCCAACTAGAAATGTAATGTGCCGTTATATTAACTATAGTTTTAATTTGACCAACTTTGTATTTTCAGATGGTAACTTAATCTCTTTAATATTTAAGTTCAATAATATATTTATCATTACGATTCATTGTGTTCGAAATAATTCAGGAATATTTGAAATGATGGACAATACTTTCATGCTACGATAACCAAAATTGTTTACTGCTAACGAAATGTTTTATCAGCCTTGTTTTTTAGATAAGCTGCTGTTGTTTTCCAAATAACATTGCCATTTGCGTCATACGTTAATAGCTCAGTTTCCATATAGTTTGAATAATATTTGTTAAATAATGTATATAATATTTATTATAATATTTTTTTGACGTAAATATCCAAATTTAATTGTAAATGTTAAAAAAAACTAACAATTAGAATTCTTTTAGTAAACAAAAATGGGTCTTAAATTTAATGAATCATATGTATTCACAATGAAACATATATTTGATATATCTTTACTATTTGTTTGTATACCACACTCCTATGCAAAATAATTTAATAGCTAATGTAAATCTAAAATATATTTAATGTAGAGACACTATTAATTTCTAGTTGGCATAATTAAATGATTTGTTAGAACCACATGTACTTAACTTTTTAACTAGAAATATATTGAGCCCCTATAATAAGCGTATTTTAATTTAGACCACATTTTTAAACACTCAGTCCAACTAAAATGTATTGTGCCGTTATATTACCCAAAGTTTTATTTGGACCAACTTTGAAATTGTTAGAAGGTAATTTAATTACCTTAGTTTATAGGTTAAATAATTCAGTTCAACTTTTTGCGTTATTGTGTTAGAAAAATATCAGGAATATTTGAAATATTGTACAATATTTTTATGCAACGATAACCAAAGTTGTTTACAGCTAACGAATTGTTTAATCAGCTTTGGGTGTTTTTAGATCAACTGTGGTTTTTTTTCCAAATAACATTGCCATTTGCGTCATACGTTAATAGCTCAGTTTCCATATAGTTTGAATAATATTTGTTAAATAATGTATATTATATTTATTTGAATATTTTTTTGACATAAATATCCAAATTTAATTGTTTAAAAAAACTAACAATTAGAATTCTTTTAGTAAAAAAAAATGGACCCTAAATTTAATGAATTATCTGTATTTACCATTATTTTTTTTAATGTTTTAAACTAGATATATATTGAGCCTCTATAATAGGCGTATTTTAATTAAGAACTAATATTTAATACTCAGTCCAACTAAAAATGAATTGTGCTCTTAGGAAAACCATAGTTCTAGTAGGTTTTGAGTATTTCATGATAGGTATAATTACAGACCATTTTCTTTAGTCCTGTTTTTCTCCAGTTACGCTTAGCCAATGTTTTTTTTATTGTATAATTACATTTATGTAATATTATATACAATTATATTATTTTGTAGTCAAAAATATTTAAACTTTCAGTCATGATCATAAAACAAAATATATTAAATTAAAAAAATAAAAATAAGTGGAAATCTACAAAACATTTTTTTTAGATATAGCTTAGGGGGATCTCGAACAATTTTACTCTCTCACATATTATAACAACCTAGAAATTAACTACAGCTTTCGAAGTGCAATTTCTCCTTTTTTTTTGGGAGGAGGGAATTTTCTTTAACAATAAAAAAATAAATCATAAAAATCCAATATCTAATCAGCTCTGCGCCTTCTACTGCAATCGTATCTACCGCTATACTTATAAAAACTAATACGGCGGGGTCGGAGCATAGCGGGGTCAAGGTATAGTGGGGATGAGGATGTCAAAGGTTTACATGAATTTTTAAATCTGAAAGTGATATAATCAATTTCGAATAAACGCTTCTATGCAAATCAGTAGTTAGTAT